AATATGTAAGTAGTAGCCTTTATCTAAGGATGACCTAAGATAGCTTTGCTCACGTTCCCCACCTTACGTTTTTCTCTTACTGTGGATTTTCGTATTAGAGGAATGAGAGAAATCACAGGCCTTCTGTCCTTATTTCCAGAGCTAAAATTTATCTGCATCTCTTGAGCATCTGCAATTTCTTCGACATTGCTATCACTCAAGAATGACCATCACTGTGTTTACCGCATGGAAAATCAATTATGTGACGAAGGACTATGATAGAATTCTATTTATTCCTTTATTTCCAGGGTTTTGACTCTCCATAATGTATGAAGCCAGCCATGGTGATATGTTAATGGTCCAGGGCAGGGGTGGGTTCCTGCCAGTTCTATAGAAGAGGTTCCACAAATCTACAATGCCGTTTAGAACCGGTTCCAGCTCCCTCCCCCCACCCCTCCGCACACCATCAAGATGATGACTGGAGGAGGAATTCTGGGAGTTGAAGTCCACAATTCTTAAAGCTGTCAAGTTTGAACATCCCTGGGTTTTTTTTCTGTAAAGGGTTAGGGGTGCGAGGGTCTTGTAACTTGACAGCTTTAAGACTTGCATGCTTCAAATGCCTTAGTTTCTGAGCCAACATTTTGGCTGCTAAGCAAGAGCGTTGTTAAGTGAGTTTCACCACATTTTAGAAGTTGACCACGCCCACCCGGTCACATGATTGCCAAGCCACTCCCACTCAGTCACATGGCTGGCAAGACACTCCCACAAATCAGGCCACACCTACAGAAGAGGTTCTAAAAATTTTTTGAACCCCACCATTGATTTCAACCCCCCAAATTCCCCAGCCAATTCACTGGGGAATTCTGGGAGTTGAAGACTGTACATCTTCAAGTTGCCAAGATTGAGAAACACTGCTCTAATGGATTACTTTTATCTGAATTACTATAATCACATAAGAATAGGGAGAAAAAAAGTTAATATTTGCTAGTTTTTGTAAGTGCTAACCTAAAAGCTTTTTCTGGACGTGAGTTTAATTGTAGCCATAAGCCACCTTGTGACAAATTAATAAAGCAGGATGTACATTTACATTACAATAGAACTGTGCGAGGTACTTACCCGCCCCTTTGAAGTCGTGAATCATAAAGGCAATACTTGGCATTCTTGCATCTATTATTAGAGTTTGAAGCCAATCTATCAGATCCGTTTAATTGTTGTGCCTTCCCTTAGGGACCTAAGGGTAGCAGAGATGGTTTCCCAAGTCCTTTCTATCCGCACAAAAAGCTTATCAAATAGCTTGGAATGATGGATGGTGCTAATAGTCCCTAAAATCATTGGGTAAAGGTTGTGATGGAACAGGAATTGAATTTTGGGAACTTAATCCCAACCAGACTCACCCCTTGTTTCTATAAACATAGTTCAAGGGGAATTACACAGCAAAGAGAGGGTTCATATTGCCTTTCAGTCATCCCTCTGATAGCTCGTCTGTTGCTGCCGTTTGTTTAGGCTCCGGAGTAGATGAGAAGGATCCCTTTGGCAAGGAAAAGTGAAAAGAGGAAGGAAGAGCTGCCTTATTTTCCTCTGTGGACTGTTTGCCAGCCTATCTTGCTAGTGATATTGAAGCTAGAGGGGGGCATGGGTGGGTGGGAGACAGTGAGAGAAATCAAATACTGTGTTAAGCTGAGGTTTCTGAATGTTTATTAAATCAACTACAACTGGTTCATAACAGTGGTGGGATTCAGCCAGTTCGCACCTATTCGGGNAACATATTTTCGAGGATGTAGAATAGATCCACACTTTCTGTTTGATCGTTCACCAGTATGGGCCACTCTTGATAACTCTCACTCCCTCTCCTACTACATTGCAAATCCATCCTTCCTTTGTGGCTTCCAGCTCTCTTTCAAAACTGCTGTTTCCTAACTTTTCCACTCTGAGGGGCATTTCCAGTCCTTTATTTCGTTTAATAGTTGCCCCAGTTTGGATTAAGTTTGCCTCCAGAAGTGGTGTGTCCTCACTGGAGATTTTTAAGAAGAAATTGGACAGCCATTTGTCTGAAATGATACAGGGCAGGAGTCCTCAAACTTCTTAAATCGGGGGCCAATTAATGGTCCCTCAGATTGTTGGGGGGCCGGACTGGCTGGGGGGTTGGACTAGAAGACTTCCAAGGTCACTTCCAACTCCGTCATTCTGTTAATAGCCAGTTGCTGCGTAGCCCTTTCATCCTGGGTTTCCAGACTGCTATGGCCTCTGCAATGTTTTAAATCTTGCAATTGAATCAGCAATGGCTCACATCCTCAGTCCTTGAGATTTGTGCTCTAGTTAGCCCCAACATTCCCCAGAGGGAAACCTTTTCAGTTTCTATGGAGTCTTGGGTAAAACGTGCTTTTCTTGCTCTCCTACTCCCTGCTCACTGTTCTGTGCATTTTCTTTCTCTTCCCTCTCTTTAAAAAAGACATTTCAGCTGCCACATAGGAAGATGCCACTTTGCCTCTGTGAAGGTGATGTGCCAGTTGTCCCACTACAAAGCTCCCAGGGGCTTAGACAGGAATGTAGGAATGAGGGAACAATCTGCTTCCTATGGCTTTGATTCCTGTCGCATTGGAGCGAAGCGATGCTGGGATTGGGGGTGGAGAAACAATAGAAAGGGTTTGCGTTAGGGAGTATCAAAGGAAATTGCCAAGACATTTCTGTAGGTAAAAACATGGGAAAACAAAGGAAAAGCATAGGGACAAGTAAAAATCCCTAAAAGAAAAGGGCAGGCTCTGGTGTGCTGTAGAAAGCTGCACAGGTGCCAGCCAACAAGGATTGGCTTTTCTGAATGGATTGGAAGGCAAGAAGCTGAGGGACAACACATCCAGTGCTCAGTGGCCATAGTCCCTACTGTATATCAGCCCAGTCCCATTGCCATCCCTCTGGAATCTGGCTGGACATATGCTTTACTGCAAGGAAGAGTGAATACAACATAATAAAATCATGAACTTGGGAAAGAAAAGTTTCCAGGAAGCTCTCAAAATGACCACTCATACCCCCTTCTCATCTTTTGGGCTCTATATGGGGCTACCTGTAAGTCCACCTGGATGCTACAGCTACAATCCAGCTGCAGCAGCATGCTCAATCATGGGCATGTTTTAATAGGCCCATAAGGCACCACTGTTCCATAGGCAGTGTTGCTAGTTGGCTTCTAGGTACAATTCAAGGTGCTTGTTACAATCATGTCATAGTGCCTAGTTATCCTCAGAATCTCCAATTGCCCATGCTGTATGATCAGGGAAAGAAGGAATGCTTCAGGACCCCTTGAATAAATAGTGTTGTCTATTGGCACCCACAAAACATGGTTTCTCTACTGAGATGCCTGTCCTCTGGGACAGGATCAGAGGTGAATCCTACTTATTCGGTCCGGTTTGGCCGAATAGGTAGTAGTTCCGGCAGACACATTACCGTACCAGTTCTATCCTCAGCGGCGCCATCTTCATTTTCTGTTCTGCACATGCGCAGAACAACCTTCATTGAAAAAATGTAATTTTTATTCCTTTTTAAATGTTGTGCGCATGTGCAGATTGTTTTAAGTGCAAATGCGCACGTGTGTGGAACACGTGCAGGCAAAAAATTTCGGACGCTGAACCAGTAGTAATGGTGGCCGTAACCCACGACTGGACAGGATCCACCCCAGAGATTCATATGACCCAAATGATGTTTAAGAATCCTGTAGAATCCTGGTTGTTCCACCAGGCTTTGAGCCACAATGGGTGCTAAGCTAAGTGTACAATTCCACTTGATTGAGGACGTGCATGGTTTGTGTTTTTTATTTTTCTAATTGTCCTGGTTTTTACAATGTTTGGTCCTCGCTGTGGTATTTTTCCACATTGTTGTTAATGGCTTTGACAATGAGATGGGGAGGAAGGCTATGCAATGCGCAAACAATACAAAACTGGGTAGGATTTTATCATGTATGCTTTAAAATGACCGTATTGCAGATGAGGATTCCTTTTCAAAATAAAATCCCTAGAATGGAGTTCAGTTAAGAAATTAGAGAGTTCGGCTAATATTATTAAGCTTTAAAAAGCAGTAGGCCTGCGTAGGAAAACTAAGTGCCCTGTGCTCCAATATTTATGGGCAGCAACCTTTCGGAGCTCTGTAAAATGAATCTCTGATCTTAAAAAGAAAAAAATCAGGACTTCACCTGTGAGAATTGTTCCACCTTTCACTGCGTACCTCTCTTCCTTATAAGGCAAACCAGGAAGTAAAAGGACCGTGCTAAATTCTATAACCATGCTGTTTGCCTATCTATCAGACTACCTGCTTAAGTACCAGGGTTTTTTGTTGTTTCCTTTATGCCAATGTAGCCTTCTGTTACAGTTTTCGAAAACCTCCATAGTTTGAAAACCTTCAGCCGTACGTTAACAGCTTCTGAACTTTCCTTTTTCTGAGCTTAATTAATGTTTGATATATTTTGTGCCTGCAGCCAGAACTGAAAGCGAATGGGGATTGAATTGCTCTGCTTTTTTTTCCTATTTCTACAAAGGAATAAGAATGTACAAGGTAAGGCTCGTTTTATATATGGAATACAAACTTAAGAGTGTGTATTTGTTCATATGAGTCTGCGTGATTTTGTGGTTCTGGATCTGATCTATGAGATTATGATAAATATTTTGAAGAAATATAGCCCAAAAAACATTCCCCCCCAAGTACTTTGATCTGGCTTTATGAAGAGTGATTCAGTGTTAGGTAGACAGACCAGGTCAAGGATTAATATAAAAATAATATTAAACACTGCTTTATGCTAATTTTCCTCTTGTATAAAGCATGACACTGATTCCAGTTGAAATTACTTCCCAAGCTTTATTTCTTATTTATTAAAATTTTAACGATCGCTTCCATCTGTTCTGAAAATACCTAAGGGCTTTTCAAACAAACAAGTAAAACTGGATTCTCTGACAAACTAACTTTAAGGAAGTCAGAACGCTGCCCAGAATGTTATGTACCTGACATAATTAAAGTATGAGCTAATCTAATACATTTCCTTGATTTGCCATGTAGGAAATTGTGATTCAGGGAGTGCCATGAACTGTGAAGATTGTTTGCTCTCTGGACCAAGCTGCGGCTGGTGTTTCCAAGAGGTGAATTATTTCAAACACCCAAAAATAATGACTTGATGTAATTACAAATTATATGTTTGTTAAATAATATACTATTCATATTCTGAATTCTCTGCTCCAAGCCACATTCTTCAGGAGAAAAGTAATTCAAAGAGTGGGTCAAAATACCTACTTTAGAATCAGTTGAAATTAGCATATCGATTTCTTTCTTTTCTTTTTAAATCTCTAGGCCCTAACACTGAGTCTAAGCAATCTCAAAAGCTTTTTATACACCTTTCCATTTAACAAAATTTTTAATTTGCGACCTAGCAGCTGCTTAAGAAAAGCAACCCCGAATTCCACATTGATGTGCTTTAAGGATTATTAACCAGGCTCATTAATCACATTCAAACTCACTTTTCAAAGGATTGTTCATATGTATAATTAACAAGTTTGGGGCAAAGAGGAATATTATGGAAGAAATAAGAGACAGTTTAAATAGATAGGATATAATTGGGGCAAAAACTAGTCTACAGAGAAATTACATAACAGCCAAAAAAGATGTTCTCTCAAGGAACATCTTTCTTGGACAGATAATATTCTGAATCTGATCTTATATCCATTAAAACATGCAATAAGGAATGAGAAGAAATAAGTCTAATATCTGGTCAAGGGAACACACATTGAAACAGTTGTCTTATTTAAAGATTTATTAACTGTAGCCTAGAAATTGTCTAATATTTTCAAATCTGTCACTGCCAATAAAGAGTCTAGAAACTTCTGGTTCAGTTCAGCTGACCTAGTGATTCAAGCATGCGCTGTGTTCTCCTGAACCCAAATCATAGAGAACAGATATGCTTCCTATAGCAAGACTGGGATACCTCCTTTGCTTTGTAAGTGAAAAGAGAACTCATGAGATTATATAAATATGGTGCCAGACACCAAATTCTGTGTGAAATTGTGCATGCTGAAAACTGCAGAAAATTAGTAGCTTTGGTTTGACTGTTTCTAAGTAACCGCATGACTTAATGTTTACGCAATTTTGATTGTGCTTACAAAAAACAGTCAAACTTTTTCTTATATTCAGAAATTTTCAAATGAAGAAATCATGCTTGGTCCTGTTTCCACATTCCATTATTTGACATTTGTTGTTTTGGTAAATCCCAAACCTGAGGAGAAAAAAAACCTGAGGAGAAAAAAAAAAAACAACCCAGGAATCTCAGTGATGAGGAAATAAATTGGATGAATTATGATCACTATGATTGCTTAGATGCTGCCAAGGTCATAAGTGTGAAGACAAGTCATAAGTCACTTTTGTTAGAACTGTCTTCACTTCAAATGGTTGTTAAATGAATGGTCATAAATCAAGAACTACCTCTATGATAGTGATGGTGAACCGTTTTGGCACCGAGTGCCGAAAAGGGAGTTTGCACGCTCATAGGGCCCACAACCCAGAAGAGAAGCTGCCAACTGGGCATCCGTGCACTGGGAAATGAACTTCCAGTTTCTGGTGCATGCATGCGCACAGGCCAGGTAGTCTTCTGGTTACTCTTGTGCATGAACATGCAATGATCAGCTGGCTGCCACGCATGCGCACAGCGAAAACAGGAAGACCAGCTCCTCTGGTTTCTGGCACTTCCGCACACAGGAAGGCCAGCTGATCATCATGCGCACATGCATGCCAGGAACCCGGAAAAGGAACGGGTGACATGGCTCTGCATGCCACTTCGGATACACGGGCCATAGGTTCGCCATCACGGCTCTATGGCAAGACCACCTATGGAGATCTAGCGTGGCATTGCCAACAAAAGTAACAGCAAAAACGCCTCTTCCTACACCGGGCCATTCAGAACCCTTTGGCTAATAGGATCTGCAACTTATTTTCCCTGCCTGACCAGGTGGGATGGTCTGATGTAATGAAATGAAGATAGTTCCATAAGTAACCTGGCCCCATGCCTTATCCCATCTCTTATCTAAATACATTCTTTGTTTGTTTGTTTGTTTTATATGTAGCCCATCTCCACTTTCAAAGCAACTTTTCCTTAAAGTCTCGCAATTCAGTTCTGATCACCAAAAGTCCATTAAGGATCATCAGAATAACATCATATTTATTTTAAACTTTATCAAAATAAATCAACCTTATATTTCTTCTTTTTATTTTTAATAATCTATTGATCTATTGTTCTTTTGAATAATGGCCTAGAGCTTGATTTCTTGTCTTCTTCTTTTTCTTTGTTCCTTCTTACAAAATTCTTCCAAATTTTAACAAGCCTCTTTTGTACAACCCATGTAGGAAAATTATCCAGGTCATTCTCTTTGTTGCTTGTTTATTCTTTTAATTATAAAGACATTGGCTGGTTTCTTTTGTATGTCCAGAGTAACATCTTTTTCCATGAAGTCTGTAGAGATTCTCAGTCATCCAGGTCATGGTTGTCCCAAAGGTGCTTTTTCAGGAGGCAACTGGACTTGCTTGAAGACCTTTCACTTCTCATCCAAGAAGCTTCTTCTGAGGATTTAGATAAACCCCAAGTGCTTCAATGAACCTCTAAAAGGATCCAAATTACCAGCTGTCTGCAAGGAATATAAATTCTTCCATTCCTCACTATCCAGTCAGAATTGAAGAAGCTTCTTGGATGAGAAGTGAAATGTCTTCAAAAGAAAAAGAAAAAAAAGTCCAGTTGCCTCCTGAAAAAGCACCTCTGGGACAATCCTTTTCCATGTCATTCTTGTAACCTTTCAGTTTTAAATCCAGTTTCAAATCAGTTTCAGTCTTGAACAACAAAACCTGTTCCTCTTCCATATCATCTTTTAAACAGTCTGTCTATAGAAGCACACACTCTTAAAAATTAACCTCTGAGTTCAGTGTTCAAAACTATCCTTCAATATGTCCAATGTTAAAAAATATTTTGCTCTATTCTGTATTAGTAAGCCAAATTTAAGCACTTCTCCTTTAATTGTAATCTTTAATTCCTTCTGGTTTCTTCTATGTCCAACCTTCAGTCTCATCCAATGGTGGGTTATGACCAGTACGCCCTAGTATGGGCATACCGGTGCCTGCTGGGTACTGTTTTGGTACGGTGCTCCGGAGGGCCCTCCCACCCGCCTGCGCTCCTTTGAGGTTTGCAGGGCTTACGTGCATGGAACGTACGGCACCTGCGCGACCCTTCACCAAGCTGCTGGCGTGTTGCGGAGGCATCACGGAGTGTTGCAGGTAGTAAGTATGCATGCACATGCTGTGCATGTGTGCGCGCATTCATGTGGTGGACGCCCGGAACCCACCACTGGTCTCATCCTATCATTTTTTAAAAAGAGAATTCAAAAC